AGAACGTCGAGACGCCATCAGTTTGGAGCGCGAGGCCAGCAGAGCTTGCTGCAGAGGAGATCCGGTAACTGTTATGAATGTGGAGGAGTGGGGCATTTTTCTCGTTACTGCCCCAATGTTCAGACGGACGAATGCTGCTGGGGGAGTGCAGAATAGACCAGCTGAAGATGGAAGAGTGCACGTTGTGGAGCCTAGAGCCCGGGAAGCTCTAAAGGTAAGTGAAAGTCGGAAACATAGCGGGGGTTCTGAAGCTTAGGAGAGGAGACTGTTTCGCTGTCGTTAGATTGTGTGGCAACGTGAGCCAACGCCAGCAGAAAGGAGGAGGAGACGGAAGGCTGTATTCCGAATCTATGTCCGAATTGGACAGTGCAAAGATGATCATTGATGCTGGGAGTTCGGATAACATAGCGTCCACGGAGATGGTGGGTCAGTTGGGGCTGGGGAAGTTAAAGCAGGACGTCTGGTGTGAGGTCGTCCCTATGTATTACATATCCTACTCGGAAGACCGTGGTAATACGAGTAGGGTGTTACCTGCGTAGGGAGAACACCGGTTGACTTTTAACGGCAAACGCGGTTATTGCCATCAGAAGACTTTGGTTGGCTAAGGAGAAAGGGTGTTGGCATAGCATTTCTGGACGTGGTGGAAGAGTCCATAGAATGCTATGCCTTGATAGCAAAGCCAACTAGCAGAGCCGAGGATCGGTGGGATGCCGTAGCTTTAAGAGATAAGGGCTGAGGCAATCGGAAAGGCTTTTTTTTTAGGAAGGAGGCCCCCTCCCTCCTATGTTGTAAAAGGGAAGTGCAGATCTTTCTGCAACACTCTTCCGGCTTGATTACCCCCTAAGAGGAGGATATAGAAGCAGATTTAGTTGCAGGTAGGAGTGAGTCTACCCTGCAAAGCGGCTTCTCGCTTATCCCCATTTGGGAATGAGGAGATCCGACGTCAAGTGCAGGAATTGCTGTCGAAGGGGCGGGAGAGTCTCAGTCCGTGTTCAACGCCTGCTTGACTAGCTCAAAAGGAGGCAGCTGGAGTGTGTAGATGGGCTTTGAAGCAGGGCCACAGATATTTCAATTCGGAGACGGGGTGGAAAGACTTTCGTGAGAAGAGATGGTAGGCTTGATACGGATACAGCTGCTTATCACCCTAGAATCAACCAGTTCGACTATACCCGCCTTAATTCCCTCATTCAGGACAGATGGAACCAGGTTATGGATCTGTTCAAGTTGGTCGATCAATCCCTCCTTTGTTTCCCCTGCCTCCGGGCACCTTAGAAGAGATTTGATTGGAAGGAGGGTGAGGAACGAAGACAGTGGTTTGACTGCTGGGATCCCAATCGGCCTGCATCAGCGGAAAATGGAACTATCGAATCACGGGTGACTCCCTTTATCGGGATGGGAGGAATTGCTTAATCGGCATTTCTGTCAATCGGCGGAAGACTCATGCATCCTGGGAGGGTACGACTTCAAGGGATGGACTCGATCGAACGGCCAACCACTTTCCATTTTTGTAGGATATTAAATCCAAAAGACCATTATTAGCGTGTAGTAGATTGGCCCGAGTGCGTAATACGCCAGTCGAGAAGAAATCCCATCAATGGATACGGTAGAGGAACGAAAGTGGCCGGCGGCGGTGTAGAGCTATAGCTATAAGGAGCGAAGCTCACACACACCGGCTGATGTAGGGTGGGATAAAGTTGCCAATGCGAGTCACGCGCAGAGTTGGACACTTTTTTTGAAGCGTGATGCTGATAAGTCCACTCGATAAGATACAACTTCCGGGGCCTTATGGGGGAGGGCCGACCTTGGTTTTAGCTACTGATGACGGGGCTGCATCGGGGACCGGAACAGGGGCACGAAGCTGCTCCGTGATATTCCAGATGAGTTGAAAGACTATGATCCCCTCCCTTGACATCCACTCGCCCTAATGAATAAGCAGGAGAAAACCCATAAGCTTTTATCCGCGCCATGGCCTGCCAAAAGTAGAATCGGGGGAGGCTTTGGAAGAAAGGTTATGAACTAGAGAGGGACCTCCCTACCCCGCGGCAGATTAACTAGAGGAATGCCAGGTGATTTTTAAAGGAGGCGGTTGAAAGACCGGCCTTGAGAGGACATTCTCTTTCTTGAGCTTTCGTGGGTTACAAGATCGACTAGCACATCCAGCTTACTCTATCGACAGCCCAGCCAGATGAAGGATCAAGGAAATCGGGATCAGCTGCCTTTACTTTATTTAAGGGGGTCTTGAATCTCATGTCATCAAAAGTAGGCAGGCTTTGAACAACCAGATAAGAATCAGTTCCACTTGAAAGGGCTTTCGTCCATCTTTCGCCCATCTATCTCCGGATGCAAGCATTGATCTTGAATGGTGCAGTTATCATCTCTCTTAGGAGGCACTACCTCCAGACCTGCCCGACTTCCTCAACCTATCGGTCGAGTCACTTCCTTCCACTCGCCTTACAAGGACCTACTGGACTATCGGCTTTAGATAGTCATCTTCCTCCCCCTATCCTTCCTTTTCACTCGCTTCCTCTCGTCTTTGAGTCGAGTAGCTCTTCTCGATTGCTCTCAACCGCTTCTCCTTGAAAAGGAAAGGTAGGAGCACTTTAACGACGGAATGTACATATGCGCGCGAAGGTGCCGGACAATTTAAGGCTCTTTTTGCCTTCAGTAAAACCGGGCAAAACATTGACTAAGTTGATTTAATTCGCATGAGAGGGCTTCGGGACAATCGAGGTGTCAAACATCCTCATTTTGTCTGTTCGCAACTTTCTTTCAATTGCTGGCAGTTGTCCCTGTCGGTGGACCACCCCCCCAAAAAAAATTCCTAGATTGAGCTTTCTTTTTTTTGCCAAAATGAAAAAGAAGTTCTCGCTTATTTTTATAATTTTTTTCATACTTTATTTAGATGTGGGCACTCTTCAGCCCGAGGACAATCTCTCAAATACACATTAAGATGTTGACCCTTTTTCTTTTCTTTGCTGATTCCTCTCAATGAAATTTTCCATGTTGCACTAAGTTACTTACGGATGTATGCATGCAGTCCGGGAACACTTTGGGGTAAACACCCATCCAAACAACTCCAACAAGAAAAGGTATAAATATGAAAACTTCTCTACCATTTAGATCGGAGAATTTATGGAGGAAATCCGGTTTTAAATTCCCAGAAACCACACGATTATATAGCCAAAGGGAATACGCCGCGCCTAAAATCATCCCAAGCGCTGCTAATGTGGCTACTAAGCTATTTCTTTGGAAAGCTCCTACTAAGATGAGAAATTCCCCGATAAAGCTGCTAGTACCAGGTAAACTCATATTGGCCAAAGTGAAAAAGAAGAAAATGGTAGAGAAATTCGGCATGGTGCTCACTAAACCTCCGTAATATCTAACAAGTCGAGTCTTATGTCGGTCATATAGAACACCAACACATAGAAAAAGGGCTGAAGAAACCAGTCCATGACTTAACATCAGTAGAATGCTACCTCCAATTCCCTGTATGTTCAGACTAAACATACCAATAGTCACCAGATTCATATGAGCTACTGAGGAGTAAGCAATGATCTTCTTAAGATCGATCTGTCTTAAAGTGGTCAAGGAAGTATATATTATAGCAATCGCGCTTAAAGTATAAATGAAAGGAGTGAAACAAAGTGTCGCTTCAGGAAACATGGGTATTGAAAATCTTAAAAAGCCGTAGGTTCCCAATTTTAAAAGAATTCCCGCCAAGATGACGGATCCTGCCGTAGGTGCCTCTACATGAGCTTCGGGTAACCAAATATGAACTGGTACCATAGGCACTTTGACGGCGAAAGAGGCGAAAAAAGCAATCCATAGAAAGATTTGGCGCCGCTCACTAAATTCTGTGGTTAATAAAATTTGTAAATCGGTGGTTCCTGTTTGGAAAAGAATCAACAGAATAGCTAATAGCATAAAAACAGATCCAAGTAAAGTATAAAGGAAAAGCTGATATGCTGCCTTGATCTTTCTTTGTCTCGAACCCCATACCCCTATAATAATGGTAGAGTAAGGGGTGGCCCCAAAGCGGAATTGACCGGTGGTGATTGGTCGAAGCTCCAGTAGGTAGCCACTCCCTTCTCGGGGAACCGTACGTGAGACTTCCGCATCATACGGCTCCGTCCCGAGCTTCCGTCGTCGGCCTTGTCATTAGACCACTATCTATGCATGTATTTTCAGCCTGGACTCTAGAATCTTTTGCTTCTCGGGTGGTGGCGAACAATGCTGCTTGCGTTGCGGGGGATGCCCGCCCGTAGGGCCCGGCCTGCTTCCCGCCCGAAAGAACCACTCACTAGCTAGCCGGACTAGTGGGGGGCCTATCTGGAGACATACTGAAAACCATGCCTTTCGAACCAAACGCAACGCCCGTCTTCCAAATCAAAAGAAAAAAGGGGGAAGAAAGAAGGAGTGCAGCCTGTAGAGCACATGTAACGCACAGTCGGGTTGCTCACGCAGCGGATCTCTCTCTTTTTAGATATCTATAGATAAAGAGAGAGAGGTGTGAAAGTAATAGCTTTATGTTATGGCCGCCCCCCGGCTTACGGCCTTTACGCTACTACTACTGTGATGTGAGCGGTTCAAATTGGTTTGATCTTTCCCGATCATCCTGGCCGGAACTTGTACGCAGCACTTGTACGGAGGTGCATGCATAAAGGTTTGGAACTTTTTTATTATCTGAATCTTAAGAACTGGACCCTACCCTATTCTCGAACCCTCTGCCGAGCTCCACCCTGCCCGCATTTCTTTTTTTTTTTTTTTTTTTCTTTTTTGAAGGGGCAAAAGAAATGTCTCCACCTGCTGCCAACAGTCTTTCTTCGGAATTCTACTGAACGGGTCGATCCTCCCCCCCCCGTTTGTTTTAGCAACTTATCCTAAGGTCTCCTCGCCAAGAGCTCCCCGGCGACGACAGAGGAAGCAACCCGCCTGCTGTGGCGGGGCGGCTTTTTTCTTTCACAATAAGACCTGGACGATTATCCCTACCCTCGGTAGCT